ACTTCCTACTGCAAAATTGCATCAGCAATTACTACTTCAGGACTTCAAGGCAAGAATAAACATGAAAATAAAAGTGCTGTTTTCAAAATCACATTGTACTGGGGTGCTTGCACAAGCAATAAAGAAAACATGTTATCTTCTTCCATATCAAAGATGTTTGATTTCTTGATTGAAAAGGAATCACAATTTAAGTAGAATAAATTAACAGTAGTGTCTGCTCACATTCTACAAAATATTATGCTTCAACAATGACAAGTGATGACCCTGAATCAACTACTTCACACTTTCCATTCTCTCTCTCTTCTCTCCTTATATAGCAGCGGTTCACAATCTGTGGGTCCCCAGATGTTTTGGCCTTCAACTCCCAGAAATCCTAACAGCTGGTAAACTGCCTGGGATTTTTGGAAGTTGTAGGTCAAAACAAATGGGGACCCACAGGTTCAGAACCACTGTTATATAGGATATGGGGTCAACAGCACTAACCCACCACACAGGATAACTGCAGAGATTATTGAGGTAACACAGAATACAAAGACATAGCTACAGTAGTCTGGAAAGGGATCTTGTAGCACTTTTGAGATTAACTGAGGGTGCATCTACACTGCAGAATTAATGGATTTTTTTTTAAAAAAAACTGAGTAATGATGGTACTACCAAACAATAACATTTCCTCTTAAGAATGCAGTGTAATTTCCTCCTCTCTTATTTGCTTCTTCTGATGTTTGCCTATCTCCATGTTTTGGCAGCCATTTCTATGGTTACAAACTTAAGCTGTATCTACACTGCCAAATTCACACAGTTTGCCAGCACTTTAACTGTCATGGTTCTATGCTATGGGATCATGTGATTTGTATGTTGCCATGGGCCTTAGCCTCCTATGCTACAGGCTTTCATAATATTGAGGCATGGTGATTAAAATGGCATCAAACTGCATTAATTCTACAGTATAGATCAAGCATTGGCAAACTTCAGCCCTCCAGGCGTTTTGGACTTCAACTCCCTGAAATCCCTGCCAGTTTACCAGCTGTTAATAATAATAATAATTTTATTTCTTACCTGCCTCTTTACACATTTCGGGATGGGTCACAACACAGTTAAAAACACAGAAATATTATATAAAAATTCTACAAATGCACATTAAAATTCAGTTCATAAAAGATACAGATAATATACACATGAATCACACAGGACAGAGACCAAAACACGACATGAGTTTAAAATTCATGCTTTCAATTGGCTGGGTAGACCTAATGGAAGAAATTGGTTTTTAGATTATTTCTACAGTTAAATTCAGTTTAAATTCTGACAGCTAATCTAACTCTGTCAGAGAATTGTGGGAGTTGAAATCCAAAACACCTGGAGGACCAAAGTTTGCCCATGCCTGGTGTAGAAGCACCCTGGGAGGAAAGAAGCTGCTACATAAGGTACGACAATACTATGGAATTCAGTGACAGAGAAGACTAAACATCTCACAAAACTACAACTCCCAGAAGTCTGTCACATTGACAGAAGTCTGTCACAAGTATGGCTCGTGGAAATGAGAGAAAGGACCTTCCCAGTACTGGCCTCCTGGCTTTGGAATGTTCTCCCTAAAGAAATCAGACAGGAGCCCTCCCTAGCTAATTTTAGGAAAGAACTAAAAACCTGGATGTGGAAGCTGGCTTTCAAAAATGGTGGACTACTTTTCACTATGATGGTTGGTCTTTCGGTCTTGTCAATACCTATTGGTTTTTAATGGTTTTGCCTCCGTGGTGCAATATGTTTTAAGCCTAGTACAATTTTGAACCTGTTTATTTATTTATTATGATATCTTTTTTAAAAATTGAATTTATGATTGTTGGTTATATAATGTCTTGTCTTTTTGGTTTCTGCTTATATATGTCTTGTGATTTGATTCTGTTGTGAGCCGCCCCAAGTCCTTGTGGAGAGGAGACAGGATATAAATCAGTATGATGATGATGATTGAGCCAGAGTGGTTCAAGTTGCAATTGTGCTATAATTCTGCAGTATGGCTACACCCACAATGTACTTCCTCAACCTCTGCATGTGAGGAAGTCCCAAAACCTGTCTCAGGGGCCCCTTCTACACAGCTGTATAAAATCCCACATTATCTGCTTTGAGCTGGGATATATGGCAGTGTGGCTTCAGATGACCCAGTTCAAAGCAGATATTGTGAGATTTTCTGTCTTGATATTCCTTGGAAGGGCCCTGGGTTACATCTGCCAGATCCCTTTACAGATACACTCCAGTTGGGCACTATCAGGAGTGCTGCATGCATCCCAGATAAGAGTGTATCTACATCTTAGAATAAATATGAAAGAAAAACTTTCGGACATGCCAATACTGGACTCTCCTGGCTTGGATTTGGTGTATTGGGACGCTAATTTACTGTTAATGAATTGACTGTTGAATCTGGATAATGTCTTAAATGGATTTTATTGTTTTAATTGTAATTTCATTGGTATATATCTGGATTGCATCACTTGATGCTAATGTGAGGGTCTTCTCGGTGGTGGCCCCCCACTCTGGAACTCACTTCCCAAGGATATCAGGCTTGCCCCAACATTGACAGTCTTTAGGAGGAGCTTGAAAACGTGGCTGTTCCAGTGTGCCTTCCCAGAATAAGGAAAATTTCACAGCAATATGTCCTCAGAATGCACTTTACTACTGGTTTAGAATTGACTGTGCTCCCTCATCTCTTTTAAAACCCTATACCAGATATATCCTACCTTGTTCATGCCCAGCGTTTATTTTTTAAAATTTTAAACTATTACATTTGGCCCGGCCATAGGTTTTAAATCCTTGTGTTTACTGTTTATTGGTTATTGTTTATATGTGATTTATATTAATTGTATTGTATTTATTGCTTTTGTTTATTGCTTTTGTTTCTATTGATGTGTTGTTGGGCTTGGCCTCATGTAAGCCGCTCTGATTCCCTTGGGGAGATGGTGGCGGGGTATAAATAAAGTTTTTATTATTATTATTATTATTATTATTATTATTATTATTATTATTATTAAGGCCGCCCTGAGTCCCCTTGTAGGGAGAAGGATGGGATATAAATAAATAAATGCAGTTTAACTGCCATGGTTCAACACTATGGATTCATGGGAACAGTAGTTTAAAGGGCCCTATATCCCAGAATATAAATGCAAGAAAATCCCACAATATCTGCTTTGAACTGGGTTATCTGAGTCCACACTAAGACAATGTGGGATTTTCTGCCTTCATATTCTGGGATATAGGATTGTGTAGAAGGGCCCTGGGTTATGAGTCCATACTGCCATATAAATCCAGTTCAAAGTAGATAATGTGGGGTTTTCTGCCTTGATATTCTGGGATATAGGGCTGTGTGGAAGGGCCCTGGGTTACGAATCCACACTGCCATATAAATCCAGTTCAAAGCAGATAATGTGGGATTTTCTGCCTTGATATTCTGGGATATAGGACTGTGTGGAAGGGCCCTGGGTTATGAGTCCATACTGCCATATAAATCAACTTCAAAGCAGACAATGTGGGATTTTCTGCCTTGATATTCTGGGATATAGGACTGTGTGGAGGGGCCCTGGGTTATGAGTCCATACTGCGATATAAATCCAGTTCAAAGCAGATAATGTGGGATTTTCTGCCTTGTTATTTTGGGATACAGGACTGTGTGGAAGGGCCGTGGGTTATGAGTCCATACTGCAATATAAATCCAGTTCAAAGCAGATAATGTGGGATTTTCTGCCTTGATATTCTGACATACAGGACTGTATGGAAGGGCCCTGGGTTATGAGTCCATACTGCCACATAAATCCAGTTCAAAGCAGATAACGTGGGATTTTCTGCCTTGATATTCTGAGATATAGGACTGTGTGGAAGGGCCCTGGGTTATGAGTTCATACTGCCATATAAATCTAGTTCAAAGCGAATATTGTGGGATTTTCTGCCTTGATATTCTGGGATATAATACTGTGTGGAAGGGCCCTGGGTTATGAGTCCATACTGCGATATAAATCCAGTTCAAAGCAGATAATATGGGATTTTTCTGCCTTGATAATCTGGGATATAGGACTGTGTGGAAGGGCCCTGGGTTATGAGTCCATACTGCCATATAAATCCAATTCAAAGCAGATAATGTGGGATTTTCTGCCTTGATATTCTAACATCCAGGACTGTATGGAAGGGCCCTGGGTTATGAGTCCATACRGCCATATAAATCCAGTTCAGAGCAGATAATGTGGGATTTTCTGCCTTGATTTTCTGACATACAGGACTGTATGGAAGGGCCCTGGGTTATGAGTCCATACTGCCATATAAATCCAGTTCGACACACATAATGTGGGATTTTCTGKCTTGATATTATGGGTAATAGGACTGTGTGGATGGGCCCTGGGTTATGAGTCCATACTGCCATATAAATCCAGTTCAGAGCAGATAATGTGGGATTTTCTGCCTTGATATTCTGACATACAGGACTGTATGGAAGGGCCCTGGGTTATGAGTCCATACTGCCATATAAATCCAGTTTGACACACATAATGTGGTATTTTCTGCCTTGATATTGTGGGTAATAGGACTGTGTGGATGAGCCCTGGGTTGAGTCCATACTGCCATATAAATCCAGTTCAAAGCAGATAATGTGGGATTTTCTGCCTTGGTATTCTGGGATACAGGACTGTGTGGAAGGGCCCTGGGTTATGAGTCCATACTGCCATATAAATCCAGTTCAAAGCAAATATTCTGGGATATAGGGCTGTGTGGAAGGGCCCTAAGCCTTGACTGCTGGGGCCTCACCGAAACACAGCCTTCCCTGGCTCTGAGACATGGCAATTAAAAGTGGTACTGAACTGCATTCATTCCATTGTGTAGKTGCACCCCTAGCCTACATTTTCCGAAAGGGGAACTAGGCTGAAGGTCAGAGGCCTCCCTCGTCGTGGGCCAAGARGGTCGGGACCAGGCCTCCTCTCCTCTCTCTCCCTCCCTCCCTCCCTACCCTTCCTTCCTCCCTTCCTTACACAGTGACATGGCCGGAGCCGCGCACCACCACCGGGTCCGGCGAGTGCTTCAGCAGCTGCTCCTCCAAGGCCCGCTCCTCGTCTTCCTCTTCCTCGTAAATCTCGTCGAAGTCCGCCATGGCCACGACGGGGCCCGGCCGAGGAGCCGCGCGGGGCCGGAAGGCAGGCCCTGAAGCCTCCGCCAGCGAGAGAGAGAGAGAGAGAGCGGGAAGACCCAGCCAGGCGCCGCCGCCGCTCCCTGCCTTCCCGCTCCTTCGGCCGGAGAAGAAGCCTCCGCAGTCCTCCTCCTCCTCCTCGCCCTCAGCGCGGCCGGCAGGAAGCGCCCGTCCTGATCCCGCGGAGGGGGGCGGGCCGCAGGAACAACAACAACCGCCACAACATCCGCTCGCTCGCCTGCGCGCGCCCCGCAGCCACTCAGCGCGCGGCTTTGGGCGCCAGGCCCCGCCCCCTTCCCCTCGTCGCGAGCGCACGGCTGGSCCGCGCATGCGCCCCTCGCGGGCGGAAAAGTCAGAATCCGGCGAGGTCAAGGGACAGTGGGGTGGATGGATGGCTTGGACAGGAAGCAGCCTGATTCCCTACAGGCCTCTCTCAGCCTAGAGACAAAAGGCCTTCCTTTATTACTCCCTGACTGTGGAGGCCCTTGTGGCCTCTTTCAACTCTGGGAGGAAAATGTGAAGAGGCAGGCAGAGCTTTAGACCACACCTGGAATATTGGGTCCAATTCTGGACACCACAATTGAAGAGAGATATTGACAAGCAGAAGAGGGCGACTAAAATGATCAAGGGTCTGGAGAACAAGCACCATGAGGAGCGGCTTAAAGAGCTGGGCGTGTTTAGTCTTCAGAAGTGAAGGCTGAGAGGAGCCATGATAGACATAATTGCTGGTTGTGGCAATAGCAGCAGCTTCAATGTGACCCTGGCCTAACATGCCCTGTGAAGGGGTGCTTCTGATGTTGCATAAGAACAGTTCTGGAGCCTCTTTTCTGATAAGTATAGATATGGACTAAGTATCTTTCTTTAGGGTCTGGAGAACAAGCCCTATGAGGAGCGGATTAAAGAGCTGGGCATGTTTAGCCTGAAGTAGATATGGCTGAGAGGAGACATGATGTATAAATATAGGAGCTCCCGGTGGCGCAATGGGTTAAACCCCTGTGTCGGCTGGACTGAAGACCGACAGGTCGCAGGTTCAAATCCGGGGACAGGCGGATGAGCTCCCTCTATCAGCTCCAGCTCCTTATGCAGGGACATGAGAGAAGCCTCCCATAAGGATGATAAAAAAATCAAATCATCCAGGTGTCCCCTGGGCAACGTCCTTGCAGACGGCCAATTCTCTCACATCAGAAGCGAACTTGCAGTTTCTCAAGTCGCCCCTGACACGACATAAAAATAAATGTATAAATATGTGAGAGGAAGTCATAGGGAGGAAGGGAGCAAGCTTGTTTTCTGCTTCCCTGGAGACTAGGACGCGGAGCAGTGGCTTCAAACTACAAGAAAGGAGATTCCATCTTAATATTAGAAAGAACTTCCTGACTGTGAGAGCCGTTCAGCAGTGGAACTCTCTGCCCCGGAGTGTGGTGGAGGCTCCTTCTTTGGAAACTTTTAAACAGGCTGGATGGCCATCTGTCAGGGATGCTTTGAATGCAATTTTCTTGCTTCTTGACAGGGGGTTGGACTGGATGGCCCATGAGGTCTCTTCCAAGTCTTATGATTCTATAAGCACATCCCATCTCCCAATGCCCTGACTGTGGAGGGAGATACAGGCAGAACTTCATAATGCCTGAACCCAGAAGCAAATGAAGGGCCTCTTTTCATCCCAGCTGCCACTGCCCTGACTAGAGAACTTCATAGTGGTTGAGTCCAGAAACACATCCCAACTGCCATTGCCCTGACTGGAAGAAAATGCAGGCAGAACTTCACAATGCTTGAGCCCAGAAGCAAATGAAGGGCCTCCATCCATCCAAGCTGCCAATGCCCTGACTGTGGAGAACTTCATAGTGGCTGAGTCTGTAAACACATCCCAACTGCCATTGCCCTGACTGTGGAGGGAAATACAGGTAAAACTTCATAAGTCCTGAACCAAGAAGTAAATGAAGGACCTCCATCTATCCCAGCTGCCACTGCCCTGACTGGAGAATTTCATAGTGGCTGAGTCTAGAAACACAACAAATTGGAACTGTCCTGTTCAAGGATAGAGAGATGAAGCAGGCACAATTCTATCATGCCTAGGCCCAGAAGTAGATCAAAAACCCTCCCTTGGCTGCGGGTAGAGTGAAGCTATGAGACTTAATCCCCTCCCACATTGCTGTCATCATTTCCTTTTGTGTCATGTCTCAATTAGATTGTAAGCCTGAGGGCAAGAACTGGTTTCGTTGTTGTTTTTCTTGTAACACATGTGCAGTGTTGACACTATGTAAATAAATTATGGTGATGGCAAGTGAAGCTTGCTGGTCTCATTGAGGCCTTCTTGAAAGTATAATGTATTGTTGAGTTGTCCAAATGGAGTGTAGCCTAGAAGGTTGAGCCAAAACATGTACACATGTTTTTGTCATATTATATGCCTCCCAATACATCCCAATCTTTACAAACAAGGTGACACACATCATAATTTAAAAATATAAAGCTACAAATTCAGTCAGTTGTAGCATAAAACACCTCTACACTCTTGGTTTACATTGTTGATCTTTATTACCATCAAATTGCCTTAACCAAAAGTCAACATGATGTAGTGGTTTGAATGCTGGGCTAGGATTCTGGGAGATCAGAATTCAAATCCCTTCTCAACTATGGAAACTCACTTGGGCAAATCACAGTGTCTGAATAAATCTTGCCAGGAAAACACCATGAGAAGTCTTGAAGGCACAGGATAACAAATATCTACATCAATGGAAACCCTAAGAATAAGAGATCTACAAGACATTCTGTGATCAGTAACCCTGCTCAGGACCCTGCGAATTCAAGGCTGTGACTTCCTTGATGGAGAAAATCTACTGGTAAAGCTGTTTACCTCTGTTCTTACTGTCTCTAACTTTTATGAAGAATCCTAGTTTACATATCTATTAAAAACAGTTTAATTGACTTCACTGCCTGAAGTGCAGATCAATTAGTTTCTGATACAGAATATATGCCATTCAGTAGTCTCCATGTGCTTGCTCACAGAAAACCATATTTCATAATCTAGAGCTGATGTAGTAGTAGTAATCTTTCGTGGGTAGTCAGCTTCTCCTCTCCCAACATCCCTGTTGCATCGGCACTATAAGAGGGTTTTGTGAGACCAGCTTCTCTCATTACCGCGTGGTTTTGAGACAACGGTGTAATGGTGAGGCTGCAACCATATTTTCATTCTTGCGGACCACTGGTGGTCCACAAACCACAGGTTGGGAACCACTAAAACTTTCAATCTTATAGCCACTATGCTTTTGACTAGGCAACTCACCAGAGAATTTTCCCGTCCTTATTTAAGCTCTTGCATTTTAGCTTGGCCCTTTCCTGTACTTTTGGCACTTTAATGGTTAAGGGCATTATCCTTCCAGCCCAGCCTTCTTGTTGCACTTTCCCTCTGTTCTATTTAGGAAACATTGCATTTACTCATAGCCCCTGAACCCAGCATAATTGGTTGTTCAGCCATAATATTGTTTTTATGATGTTGCTTGACTATGACGTTTTTATTTATTTGTTGTGTTGATTGTATTTTCCTGTGCTTGTTTTAACCTGTAATTCTGGGCTTGTCCCTTTGTAAGCTGCCCCAAGTCCCTTCATGGAGATAAATAATAACTTTAAAAATAAAGTTGTTGTTGTTGTATTATTATTATTATTATTATTATTATTATTATTATTATTATCCTGATGCATGATGCTCTGTGACAATTTGCTTGTGCTTTAATCCAAAACCCTGACTTAAAAGATTTGTTGATGTGTGGTTGATCTTCCAAGGTCATATTACATTGCAGTGGAGTTAGTGGTGAGCGGAACAGGTTAGTAGGAGACGACCTCTGCCAGTCATTCTTGGCAGGAATTGATGCTATTCCCCCCACCCCACCCAGTTTAGTTCTCTATCATCCTGTCCAGATATTAGCACCACAGTGCCACCTTCTACAATCTGAATCCAAGTCTCTACACAGCATCCCTCTTGTGTTAATGAATTGGATCTTATTTGCTTTTGTCCCCATTCTGAATCAACTTTTAACAAATAAAACTAGCGCAAACTATTGCGTGCCATATATTAAGCTCGACCATATTTGCTGCTCCCCAATGCAGTCATGTTTTGATGTTTGTGTGTTCAGTAAATTTCCCCTTTGTTAGCTTTATGTGAATGTGAGTTACCTAGTCTGATCTAATATGTCCTTCAATCTGCCTTAGCCTTTGAGACATGTCTGTTTGGCATGTGCATGAATTCAGAGAACACATTTGGTATCACACTTCAGATTGAGTTGGTGTTCCTGCCAGTGCAGCTTGACTGCCTCTGCAAATTACACAACTTTAGTGTCTTTCAATGAAAAGTAAATGAGTGCTTCATTGGGGTACAACAAAATACTGTATCTCTCTACTTCTAGGAAATGTGGCTCGGATTTTAGTTACTTCCATGTATGTGTATCTTGCAAGGGAAGCCAATACAAGAGATGGGTTGATGTTAATGGGGTCTTCTCTCCTAAAGTAAAATTGCAGCTGGGTGGGGTTTATGACTGTTGCCACTAGGAAAGAAGAGAGGCCGTTTTCCTTCCCCCATTGCTGAAATCCTAGTTTAGATCTTATGCCCAGCAGCAACTGTAGGTTAGAACTTTATAAATATTATTTTAAAAGAATTGATGCCCAACAAGACACTTTTTATTTATTTGTTGTGTGTATGTGTGCGTGTGTGTGTGTATATATATAACTTTAATTTTAATTAGGGGTACAAAGGGGGAAGCGAGGGGATGTGGAGATATGGGGATGAGAGGGGGGTACTTCTTCTACAAGTAAAGAGGGAGAACAATGATATGATAGAAAAGTTGGAAAATAAGATAGAAAAATAAAAACAAAAAAAGATTCAAGATTTATCAAAAAAGAAGAAAAAAAGTTAAAAAAATAAATCTTGGTTACTTCCATCTAGTCATTTGCGGCTTAAGTTTGTACAACAGTGTTCTGTGTTGAGGGTAAAAAAATAAAAAGTGAATTAAATGTTCAGGAGAATAGATCTTCTTGTTTTTTCCATCAGAAAAAAAATGAAATAATGTATTTTAAAATTTTGTTTATTGTCCTTTTTTTTCATATTCTTCGAACTTGGACCAGTCTGTGTGTCTAATCGGATTTCCTAATTTTTTCTTTAATAAAAAAGTTAGTTTATCCATGTCTCTGATTTCTCTTACTTTTTGTATCCATTCGTCTAAGTCTGGTACTTCCTTTTGCTTCCAATGT